GGGAGGCGTAAAGGCTCTATAGGACGACTCTAAACGCCCCTTAGCTTAGTTACGCTCAAGTGCCACGAGCCGTTCCGTTAGCACCTGGTTCTGGGCTGTTAACCGATTCATTAGCTCCATCATCTAGGCCATGGTATCCTAGTTGGCCTTCGGCGAGCCTCCTTGCCTTAGTAAGCCCTTTCCTCCCACGATGGCTGATTATTTAGCGACCGCTTTAATTGTTGGCCTAATTGCTACCTCCTTCTATCCGTCCTCTCTAAGCATTTGTGTAATTTCGCGCAGGATCTCTTCATCTAATACTTCTACCTAGTTCTTAGCAGCAGCGTACGCCGCTAGCTCTTCTACATTCAAGTTTAGAACGTTAATCTCTATTGCCTAATTCGTTTTAGACGTCTCGTTCTTGCTAATATGCAGGGCTTCCGATCGCTCTTCGATCCGCTCGCGCAGTCCTAGACTGCGGCCTACTCCTCGTCGGTGAGGACTAGTAGGGCTTACCTTCGGGTCTTGCCGTCTCGCTCGTGGGATCTCGTCTCCTATTGAGAGTAATCGCACGGCCTGCACCTCGTCCGATAGAGGATCGACAGGACTTCTCACTACAACGCCCGCTTCTAGCTAACTATACACTAGGCCTAAGTGGCCTTTAGGTAGTTTATTACGCAACGTTGTGCCTACGGCTTAGCTTTTTAAGACATAATAGGACTTCCTAGACAGGTCCTAGGCGACTAATTCGCCTACTGTCTCTCACGGCTAAACTTCCTGCGAAGCTCTGCCCTAGGTATACTGTCTTGCGATAGTCTACCTTCTCGCTGCACTAAAGGCCTTTCGTACCTATTACAGCACTAACTCTATGTTACTAGCTCGCACTAATAACACGCTTTAAAACTTAGTTAGAAGATAGTCTGCCTAAGGCTTATGTCTAATTGGGATTAAATACAAAATGTAAGGGGCTGCGCTCTAGGGAGCAATCGCGAGGTATACAAGAGGTTGTATTTAATAAGGAGCTATCTACTTTACTTATGTGGTGTTTATTTACTTATTAGAGAAAGGTTATGCTAGAGTATCTAAGCGCGTTGTCTGAGCGCTGCTAGGTCTGAACGTAGTTCAGATGGTGCGCGCGCAGCTTGGCCCGAGATTCCATCAAGGAGCTATCCAAAGGGCGTTCAGCCCGTTACATATTTTTTTAATACTTTAATTATAGCTTTTACTTTTATAAAGCTATTATATAGTACTTTTAGTAGTAGAGTATACTTTTAAGCGCGTATTAAAGTCTTTTATAAGTTACTAAAATTATAGTTTATAATACTATAAAGCTTACTATAAGCTTTATAATAAAGCTTATACTTATCAACTAGCTAAGTATACTAAAGTAAAAGAACGTTATTAGTAATAGCTATATAAGTTAAAGCTAGAATAGCTTTTAAAGCCATAAGCTTATTAAGCTTATTAAAATTACTCTATTTACTAGAGCTATTAGAATTGGTATTAAAGCCTTTCTAAAAAGATATAACGTGGTTCACAAGTGAGTCGCTAACCCAAGCAAGTCGCTAACGCCCCACCAGCCTATTAACTTTATCACTATAACGCGTGATGTCTTAACAACGCAATTGTCTATTAATATATTCTAAATCTAATCTTTAACTTGCTCTTTTTAACGTCTAGTCGCAACGTGTTTAGAGTGTAAACTATGCTGCTACTATCTACAACGTCCTACAAAAAACTCTATCTAATCAACGCGCTAGAAAGCGCCCTTAACGCGACTGCAAGCCGAAATTGAAGCGTCTAGATAAGCTAGAAGAGGAGGCTATAGTTAAGCGTATTCTTGAAGAGTCTACGCGAAGATTTGCGCCTATAAAGCTTAACGTTTAAGTAATAGCTAATAAACTATTAGAGGAGCGTGGTGGCAACCCTGTTGGCAAGAACTAGGTTAACAACTTCGTTAAGCGGACTCCTAAGCTCCGTACGCGCTAGAGCCGTCCCTATAATCACCAGCGAGCCGCCTGCGAGGATCTAGTGGCTATCTAGCGCTGGTTCGACTTAGTCTAGGCGACAAGGCAGAAGTGGGGTATTGTAGACGACGATATCTACAACTTTAACGAGACTAGCTTTATAATAGGCAAGATTTTATTATAGTTAGTTATTATAGTATTAGAAGGATATAGAAAAAAGAAGCGGATACAGCTAGGCAACCATAAGTGGGTTACTATGATCTAAGGCGTGGGCGCGTTAGGTCGCTAAATACCACTCTTTGTTGTCTTTGCGGGCAAGGTGCTTATCAACGTCTAGTTTAAGAATTTGCCTACTAACTAGGTTCTTGAAGTCAGTCCTAATAGCTAGACGAATAATTAGCTTAGTCTTGCCTAGTTAAAGCACTTTAATACCCATACAAAGAGCTCTACTGTAGGTGGGTATCGACTGCTCATTATTAATGGCCATAAGAGCCACTGCTCTATCAATTTCTAAGATCTTTGCAAGTAGAAGAATATTGTGCTTCTCTGCATGCCTGCGCACTCGTCTCACCTGTTGCAGCCCCTTGACGTCGCCTGCTTCTCGCCGTTGAAGCGCAAGTATGGCGACGCTATTTCAGGCTTAGCACGCAACCGCACCTACTATATCAGCAAAGAGACCTTCCTACTAGCCTTTAAGACTGCTTTTAAGCAGTCTATCACGAAGGAGAATATCCAAGCTGGCTTTAGAGGCGCTGGTCTAGTCCCACACGACCCACAAGCTGTGCTATCTAAGCTTGATGTGGTGGTGCAGACACCTGTACAATCACCGCAATAGGTAGCCGCCTGGCAGGCGCAGACACCACGCAACGCGCGCGAAGTTAAGTCTCAAATTAGTCTCATTTAAGAGAGCGTGAGAAAACGCCGTGGGTCTTCTGCTAATTCACTTACTAAGCAGATCGCGTAGCTAAGTAAGGGGGCCTAGCAAATGGCACATAAAATGACGCTTATAATAGAGGAAATGGGTACGCTTTAAGCAGCTCTTAACGAGTCAAATAAGCGTAAAAGCCGCAAGCGGCGATACGTACGGACAGAAGAGACTCTTACTGTAGGCGAAGTACAAGAAGTATTAGCTAAACAGGCGGGTAGCAGTCGTGGTGATGGTGAGAGTGCGTCGAAGAGGGTGCGAGGAGAGCGGCGGTGCGGGCGTTGCAAGCAGACTGGACACAACGCTCGTACCTGCGTAGTTGAGATAGATAGTGCAAGTAATAGTGGCAATTCTAACAATTAATTTAGTGTATCGCAATAG